AAAAAACCACCTGGTAATATTTCACCATGGAAGTAATAATGAAAAGAAAAAAAAAAAAAAGAATCCAGATGGAGCACTGGGAAGCCCAAAGTTACCAACTACCTTAGATTCACCTCTGGGAAAAAAAAATAATCTGTATACTTAAAGAAAGATGTTATTCCTCAGCGTAATCTGAACACTGATTCCATTCAGATGATCGATACACAGCTACAACAAAAAAAGACAGATCCTTCATAAACCACATACACACACAAAAAAAGGAGTAACTTAAACCTAAAGTCTTCTTTACAGATTGTCCTTTACAAAATATAAAGTATGGGAAATTACAGTTAATTAAAAACTGTTTTAGTTCTAGAATCATAGCCAGTCATAGCAGAAATGCATCTCACTGGTAATCACTGAAGCTACCAGTGTCTCGTTCCTATAGACACAGGATGGGATTCTGCTCATCTTTTAGTGCAAAGGTAGGCATGCTGTGAAAGGTGTCTTTCTAGGGTTTCTTTAAATAGCAGCACCTCTAGAGTGCAGTCATCACATCTATTAATGTCTCCTAATATATAGTCTTCTATCATCTATTAATAGGTATAAAGAATTCCTCAGGGACATCTCTCTTTTCATTTACAATAGAGGGAATCAAGTCTAAGCTGAGAGCAGATGCTTACTTTTTAAATTGTTAGCACTGAGTGTGGCAGATGCTATCCATGACATCTTTTCATCCCCTGAAAGGATGAAATGTGGGATGGGACTGTACTAGGCTGTTTGCAGAGATAATGACTGTGTCGACATTAGTGTTTTAGTTCACAGTGGGACTATATTTTTCTTTCAGATCAGCCCCATTTACTAGGCTGTGATTCACGCAATAGAGAAGTCTTAGGGTGAACAAAATGGTTATCTTTCTCATGAAGATAAATGGAAGATGCACTCCCAGACAGCATCTAAACTGTGAATTACAGCTGGTCCAAAACTGTGCCCCCCCTCTGCCAAACATGTACAGTGTGAATGCCAGGTCCTCAGCACCAACTGTTTTGCTCTACAGAACTGTTCTTATCAGGCTACACTACTTGCCAACATTACAAAGGCAGCTGATTCAAATCAACTCTGTGTTTCAAACTTCCCCATGAAAAATACAGTGTAAATAAGATGGAGATTTTGAACTGACATTCTCCTGAATTAAATCCATGTCCCCAGTCTTGTTAAGTCCTTCTTGAGAGGGTATTGCAAAAATGTGAAGGAGAAGAAAGCCCGTTTGGTGGGGTCTCTTTGGAACACTGGTGTGCCAGCCCTTTCTATAAGGCTAGGCTGAGGCTCTTCAGTCTCTGAAGCCAAAGTCTAAGGCAGTTCTTGTTGCATGCTGTAACTTTTTTGGAGTGTTTTGGCTAATCACTTCAGTAGTCTTACTACTCTTGATTTTCTAATAGAATGATAGAATCATAGACTGCCAGGTTGGAAGGGATCATCTGGTCCAACCCTTCTAGGTACTACTATAGTTTACATGAGATGGCTCAGCACCCTGTCAAGCTGAGACTTAAAACTGCCTAATGTGGGGGAATCTACCACTTCCCTTGGGAGACTATTCCAATGTTTGACTGTCCTCATGGGGAAAAATTTACCTCTTGTGTCCAATCAGAATCTCCCCAAGAGCAACTTGTGCCCATTACCCCATGTCTTTTCCATAGAAGTCTAAGACATGGATCAAAGATGGCTGGTTGTTTAGATACTGAGACCATCTGGTTTTAATAATTATTTTTAAAGGACAAAGGCATATGGGGAATTAGTTTTGATATTTCTAAGTTGTGCCACTGTTGCATTTTTAAACATTTCAGCAAAACTGATATTATAATAGGAATGGTGTTTATACAAAGACTCTTAAATTTCTGTTAAACAACTGTGCTGTGTCTTAAATGACAAGAAATTTTATCTAGCACATGCCAAAGGCATGCTGAAGATTTTTCCAACAGCTCTGATTCATCTCCTTGAATTAATTTTTTCTTAGAGATATGGTGTAGACAATCATTTTATCAACAACCAGCTGTTTTAATATTCATTGCAATAAAGAGATTATTCTTCTAGAACCCTCAGCACAACTGTTTCTGCATTGTAGAGCCAAAGAAGACTTATTACTGCCAGAATTAATGAGCCTTTCTGTACCCGTATGGCATATACACTATAATTCATCTGCGGTTTAATCACTAACTAAAAATTCAGAACTGACTGCGGCGAGACAGGGCTCATTTAAGTGATTCCCTGCAGGCCTATATTCCATTATGTCCCACCTTTACACAGAAAGTTGGATCACAAGAAGTGTGCACAAACAGACACACACACGTTTGTCCAGCCAGCCAGCAAGCATTGTGGGACAGGACAAGCACACAGGGAAGGGAATGCAGGCTGTACTGCTGTCCCAGTACCTCTCACATGAAACAGGTCTGAGCCCTTTGTGGCTCTTCCTGGTGTCACCACAGTGCCAAGGGAATGATCACCTCAAACTACTTTCCTTAGCAATTTATGTTGCACCTTTAAAACTCCCACAAAGCACTTCTGTGAAATAAATCCACTAAATTTTTATTAACAGTACATTTTTTTACTGTGAGAGTGACAGAGCCCTGGAACAGGCTGCCCAGGGAGGTTGTGGAGTCTCCTTCACTGGAGACATTCAAAACCCACCTGGACACGTTCCTGTGTGATGTGCTCTGGGTGACCCTGCTCTGGCAGGGGGGGTGGACTAGATGATCTTTCAAGATCCCTTCCAACCCCTAAGATTCTATGATTCTATGATTCTATGATTCTGATTCTGTGAACAGTTGATTCACAGGCCTGGTTAAATCTGTGTTCTACAGGTTAGAAATTCTGTCTGTAGCAATGATAGAAAACCCTCACAAAAGTGGTTGGGAGTTTTTATTAGTAGGATTGGATGGTCCTATGGTACGATTCCAGAAAATGTTTGACCCTAATTTTGCCTTCTTATCTGTACATATCAAAGTGTCCTACAAAATAAAAGAGCTATATTAGCATAATTTCATATACAGGAAGTTGAAGGACAGAAAGGTAACACAGCTTTCCTGAAACCTGATGATAATTTGATGGGAGAGCTGCAAAGAGAACCCCATTTATGAACTCCCAACTTGTATGCCCTATCCACAGAAACGTGCTGCCTCCCAGTGCTGCCTAGATATACCAGACATCTGTGAAGCTGTATTTTTAGCCCTAATATTCTCTTTTGCTGGAACTGGGCCATGAAGATTCACAGTAAGCTAAGGACTGTAAATATCCCTTAGACTTTATGGGAGGAAAACTGGCATAATATCAAAGCAGAACAAGCACTTTCTTAAATTTCACTTTTGTTAACTACTGTCATACTTGAAAGATTTCCTTGCAATGTAAGAAAGAACCAACCAGCTGCAGCATGTTGTAAACAAGCAAAAATTAGAAAGAAAAATTTCTGCAGATTTTTATCATGTTATGGCAACAAAATCAGGTTTTAAGTACTACAAATCACAGAGGTTTCAGGGCTTTTTCAGCTTTAATAACTTATGCTGGTCATTAAGCCATCAACAAGAAATCTTTTCATCTCCCAGTAATTCTGTAAATATTTGTTTTCTCCCAATGCACTTTGTTGAAGGAGGAGACCAAATATCCCCATGCATTTCAGACGCATAGGCCTTTACATTACCACTAAAATTACATTACCACTGAGATATTAAGTCTACGTATTTGGATCAAAATTCTTTTTACAAGGCAGAACTTTTGTAATATTTTTGTCATATTTTTGGGAGTGTCTTTTCACCTGTGTTGATCCGTAGCAAATATGCTTAGTTTAAGATGACATAAAATTCTGTAAAGCTGAGGTCTTGGCGGAAGGGTGAAAGGAATTACATGGCAGATGACAGAGAACAAGTAGCACATATGCACACATCATCTTGTGTGTGTCGTGACAGCATTAGTCCTCAAGAATATGAGAATTAGTTGTCTCCAACAAGCACTTAACTCCATTAAACAAGAAGTCCTGAGAAAAGGTGAGGAAAAACACAGAGTTCTGTTACAGCCTGAGTGATTCAGAGTGAGGTGACAGGCAAAATCAGAAAGGTGCACTCTCTTTGGTGGGACATAGTATGGGTTCTGCAGGCCTGCTTTTACAATAACAAATGTGCTGCTTTCATAGAAACATTTTTATAGCTGCAAGGTACAGCAGTTGTTTTGCTTGTCAACTAAGGACTCCTTCTTGTCCCTCAGTGTGCTGTTTCTGAGTGGAAGAATTTTTGCCAGTAAGTTAGTGCTGTAAATCAGTTTTTCTGAGACACTGGGCCAGTGTGATTAGCATTCACTTTGCATGGGAAAGAGCTTGGATATCTTCTGCACTCATTCTGCTTTTCACTCCAGATACTATCCCTTCTGCTCAACAGTCATTCCCCTGGATACCATTGGTTTCTGATTAACACAGGAGAATTTCCCCAAACCATGGCTTGCAGGCAGTGTTTCCCATGAAATCTTCCCACATTACTTGCAGCCAAAGGAAATGAAAACATTATAATTTACCTATAGGGAAAGTTGAAATTGATATTGCCTTCATTGTATGACTTTCACAGTCTTGTTGCCAGCTACTAACCTAGCAAGTACTTGGTGTTTCTTATAGAAAGAACAACTTGGCTAATAATTTGAAAAACTCAAGCCAGTGTAAAGAGTCTCAAAAAGTCACAGAGATTATCAGATGAAAAGTACAAGCATTCTCCTAACTCTAAGCTGTGAGGTCCCAGTGGGTCTTAACCTGGGCAGCACGTAAAAAGTGTTGAGAAGTATTTTTGCTGCAATACATTAACACTAATACCTGCACATTTTGCCACTGCAACCAGAGGAGGGTAATTAAATTAAATTAATGTAGAAAATATCCTGAGCATTTTTTTTAACTGTTAAATCAATGGGCAGGGAGGACAATGTTAAACCACAGGGTGTTTTTGGACCACCCATTGTAACAGCGATGTCATATTTTATTTTATTTTTTTCAGAATGAGGTGGCAATGCTTCTCAAGCCAATATCAGAGAAGATTCAGGAAATCCAGAACTTCAGAGAAAGGAACAGAGGAAGTGAAATGTTCAACCACCTCTCAGCTGTCAGTGAGAGCATACCAGCCCTTGGGTGGATAGCAGTGGTGAGTGACACACAGGATGGATGGTTGGGAGGGCTGGTCATTGTGCTTCTGGATGGCCTGGCCCAGGATAGTTTCAAATCTTGCAAAGCCCTGCAGTCTCATCTGCGTTATTCTTCTGTCTACTACAACTAGGAAGGTGTCTTGTAATATACCTAATGCATCAGGGAAAGTATCTGACTAATGTTTTACTTCCTTTCCCTTTCTGTTGTTTCCTGCTACCATGGGGTGATGGTCCTAGTCTCCTAAACCAGGCCCTTATGTCAAGGAGATGAATGATGCTGCTACCTTCTATACTAACAGGGTATTAAAGGACTACAAGCACAGGTATGTTGCCAAGCCCCAGTATCTACTAGCCGGAGAACAGAGCATTAAACATACCAGTAGGGTTCACAGTGCCATCACAGAAAGCATTTTGTAAACTAAAAAAGCATTTGATAACATCTGCTTTGCAGTAGTATACTTTCCTCTCCTCTTCTTTGACCTGCAGCATGTTGCAGTGAGCATGGCAGCAGCACTAGAAGAGCTGGTCTTCACTCTCTGCAAATTATAGGATTATGTTTTATTTTCCAGCATTCCAGCATCAGAGGCTTATATGCAAATGAAAATTTAAATATCAGCATGTGGCTGGCTAGCTGCTACGCATCCTTGCACTCATACTATTGCTGTTCTTGCTCTTCCCTGGAAAACGTGCATTTAGGTTGTAGATATATACAACTGAGCATCTAATTCTGTAGCTCCCAATTTTATTTTTTTTCTATACCACTGTGTTGTTCTTAAAGAACTCAAGGAATTCACAGAGATGTTCTATGAATGAGATCTGTGAGCTGACAAGAGAAAGAGAAAAAATACAGGTCCCTCCTATGTCCTCTTAAAAAGTCATGTGTAAATCCTGTTGGTTTGGTACTTTCAGAAGCCAGATTTTGACTTTTGATTTTTACATCCCCATGAAGAACAGTATTTATTACTGATTTTTTTATATTCAGTAAGGAAAAAGTTATATATAAGAAAACATTTTGTATATATTTCTATTTATTGTATATGTATAAATATATATAATGCTATATATAATATTTCATTATATATATTTTGTACTATTCCTGAAGCCTTAGTTTACCTACTGAAGGTAGTATCTACTGGGGTAACTGAAGATTTTTACAATATGTCATTAGTTCTTGTTCTGGAGAAGAAGATGTATCACAGAAGGATATAAATGGGTGCATTATTTAGGTATTTAATTCTTCCCCTAATAAGGAATTATTTTCCTGTTTTTCACTGAATCAGATCACAGTATTTTCCACAGTAGTGGAAGGCTCTCCCTTGACTTCAGCAGGCTTTGGGTTAAACCTGTTGATCCAGATCCTTAGAAGTATTAAGCATCCAACTCCAAAGGAAATAAATAGGAGGTAGACACCCAAATCTTTGTAAGCATCCATAGCCATCACTAGTCAGTAATAATTATTCATAACCAAGGACTCCATTTTACAAGCAGCTTGTCTCTCTACATGTTTCTTGTTTTCACTTACTGTCCCACTGGAAGACTGAGCCTTCCAAATAATGATTCCAGAGCCAGCTTGTGACTTGTATTTGAAAAATTCTTCAAGTATAAATATTTTAGTCTGATTACTATAACATGAAGCAGTATTACCCTGGCTACATTTGAACTTGGAATGTCAAATATCTACAGAACTCATGGATATTTAATTTTCTAAAATTCAGCAGCATGAAACTGAGTCTGGGTAGCTGCTGCACAGCTCCATGTTCTTTCAGTGCTTCTTCAGTTGACTTTAAGCCTGAACGGGATGATGACACACCCTTCCAGTAGGAAACACTCTGTGCTGGGGGCATCCTTTGCCCTTCTGTGTCCTCTGGAAGGATCTCAAAGCTTTCCAGTGTAGTAGGCCTCAGTATTTTCAGTACTGGGCTGGCTGGCTGCCATCTAACTGATTTATCCGTAGCTTTAAGGCAGACATTGGGATTTACCTGTTTTAAGCAAGAGCACCTATGCTTTCTGTTTTTAAGTGCATTCACACATGTAAATATTGTCTCTATTTTTATAGTGACACACGCCATGTTGATTGGGTGAAGTCATATCTGAACATTTGGTCTGAGCTTCAAGCTTATATCAAAGAGCATCATACCACAGGTCTCACCTGGAGTAAAACTGTAAGTACTCTTTCCTTCCTTGTGAAGAACCATAAAATGCCAGTAATTAATTTGACTTTTAATGCAGATCATTAGCTCAGGAAAAAAAAAAAAAAAATGTAGGTCGGGAACAGAATTCATGATCCATGGACTTCCCAACCAAGCCAATAGAAGTTTGAAAGACAGGTGGAGAAGATGTGTCAGGCCACCGTGGTACAGGTTTGGAGGAAGAGGGAAGGGTTATCTGGGATTATTATAGCCATAACTCCCAGTTGCAGATGGTGATGAGGGGCAGGCACAATTCTCCAAGGCTGCTAAGTCAGAAGGCAGGAACAAAAACAAACACAAAAACTTTGAAGGACATGTCAGACTAAAGGAAAGTTGGGGGAACATAACAGGGAAAGGAGAAGAATGGTGGAAAGAATCTGAGCTAAGGGAGATACCTAGTAAGAGGAAAAAGAAACACAAGGGATACATACCAATTTCTTACTTCATAGATAGCTATCTTTATAAACTGTTACTGTTTACATATGGAAATAATTTCTGAAATACATATATGGAGGGAAAGATTAAATACTACTGTGTGCCTATTTATACTTTCTCTTTATATGTATGCAAACATTTTCTGTGTGTTACATCTAGGATACATAGAAAAATTATGGCAATGAATACTGTTCTGTACAAGAGGTATAAATATGAAAAAATAATTTTCTGTTGGGTATAAATGTAAGAGTTTATGTTCACTGTCCACATTGATGCAATGGTCTAGATTATTCTAATAATGTGCTCATGTTTATTATCAGATTAGGAGAATGGCTGAAATATATTAAAAATATAATCAACCAGCTCTTCACTGTTATCTCCTAAACTTACTGGTGCACTCCCATACTTGCACATGCTGTCTTTTACACCAAGTTGGTAATTTCTTACATATAGGCAGGCCATTTTTTAAAATATTTTTTTTTAATTGAATGACTAGGCCATCAGATACTTTAATTCCCAGACCAAACTATTGTAAGAACTCAAAACCAGAGGGAAGTGAAGTATGCCTTTTGGATGGAATGTATTTTAACATGGAATAAGGGTTGGAACACCTCTCTCCTATGAGGAAAGGCTGAGAAAGTTGGGGTTGTTCAGCCAAGAGAAGAGAAAGCTTTGGGGAGACTGTTGCTCCCTTTCAAAGAGGAGCTATGAGAAAGATGGAGAAACACTTTACCAGGGCCTGTAGTGACAGGACAAGGTGCAGCAGTTTTAAACTGAAAGAAAGAAGATTTAGACTGAATATAAGGAAGAAATTTTTAATGATGAGGGTGGTGAGACACTGGCATGGTTGCCCAGGGAAGTTGTGAGTGTCCCCTCCCTGGAAGTGTTCAAGGCCAGGTTGGATGGGGCTTTGAGCAACCTGATCTAGTGAGAGGCATCCCTTCCCATGCAGGGGGTTTGGAACTAGATGATCTTTAAAGGTTCCTTCCAACTCAAACCAATCTATGATTCTATGGTGCCTGGAAATATTCCTTTATCTGCCCCTGTATGGAGGTGATAACCATGTAAAATAATCTATGTCACTTGTGCTCAGCAACAGACTATGCAGCTTTCTCTTCATACCCTTCATTAGACATTGTACAAGACCTTACCATACTCAGGTCTTCAAATGCATGTCAAAACACAGGAGAGAACATGATCTGTGTGTACTTCTTAGTTGGAAGCAATGGAAAAATATTAAACATGATAAATTAGAAAACTGGAATGATCTGCTACTTTGTAGTTTTCTGTAATAAAAATGTAAAATATTAAACATGATTCTTTTCCTTAATTTAGTACAAAATTTCACACTTGCTACATCCTACTCTGCTATAACCAGTGAATGTGAGAATAGCTAATGGTTTTTAAATTATTGTTAGATATGGAAAAGAAATTGTAGTACTCCCTTAGCAGAATTAGTCTGAGAATCTGGGACAAATTTGGCTTTGTTAATATAGAAAAAGAATCATCTTCACCTTTAATGGAACTTTATGAGTATGGAAATAGTGTTAGAAGATAAAGATTTGTTACAGCTATTTGATCAAACAGGAGGAACTCTCCATCATGTTAAGTACTGGCAATCTTATTCAGAAGCATAGCTGTTGCAGATTATATTTGACTGGTCTTAAAAACAGCATCTCAGCCATCATGTCTTTCTGTTTCCCTCTCTTCAGTTGTGCAAGAAATTGCTGAATACAAATCTAGATGTGATTTGTTTATTCAGATTAAGCATAGTTTCCTGCCAGCAGTGCTCATTCCATCATGAGAGAGGAGCCCATTACTGCATCTGAAGTACCGATTTCGCTCACTTTGGATAGCAGTCAGATCTGAAAGTTATCTTGGAAGTATGGTTCATTTACATTATCATTCATGTAATGTGTGTCAGAAAGATTAAATTACAAACACATTTTTATGAATGTATAATTTTTGTAAGTTTTACTTCATGTAAGGAAACCCAGTAAGTTAGCAGGTTCTGTAAATAGCTTGTTGTTTACAAGTTGTTTAAATATTTCTGTGAAGCTTGATGATGAATACATTCAGGAAAGCAATGAGTTACTCAAGTGATAATTTCATATATTTTTTATACATTTTAAGGTGAGAATGAAAGTCACTGATTCATGCTGTATGAAGCTAAGCAAAAAGGTCTGCAGAATCAGGGCCCAGACAAACATACAATAGATATAAAAGCTGTAGGTATAATCCAGGCACAGTTGTTAATGTGTTAAGTGCACACAGCAGCTTCCACTTACATGCATTGAAGGAAAAAAGGAAAAAGCAGCATTTTGGCTAAGCATTAAGAAATTGGCACATTTATGAAAGTAACATGTTGAAATGCTATTTTGTGATAGAAACATAGAATCATTGAGGTTGGAGTCCAACCATAATCCAACTACCACAACCACTAAACTATATTCTGTAGTGCCACATCTAAACACTTCTTGAACCCCTCCAGGGATGCCTCCACCCCCTCCCTGGGCAGCCTGTTCCAATGCCTCACTGCCCTTTCAGTAAATCGTTTTCCTAATATCCAACCTAAACCTCCGGTGGTGCAACTTAAACCCGTAGAGGGAGAGAAAAAGAGACAAAGTTCTTGGCCTGTTTATATACATATTTAAAATACATTATACCGACAAGTTACCCTTCATATCTGCAGAAGTCAACAAAGCAATGCTTGAAGATTTACATCAAAAGCCATTAAGTAATATATTGGGGTATTTCTGAAGAGTCAGGGAGAACATTAAGTACTGCTTTTCTCAGAGCTGTATTCTCATAGCTATGCTTGGGTTTCAAAAAAGGAGGGGACAGTTTTTCTAGCAGGCAGTTGGCCCCTGTACCTGCAGGTACTGCATACTGTGGTGTCCACATTTCTGGTTACTCTGCATGGCAGTATTACAAAGCTGTGCCATTTCCAGTCCCCCTGGACCTTTCTATCAAGCTGCACTGGGCAGCTGCAGCCAACCTTGGAACAGGTCACTATTGGATACAATAAAGTGTTCCTGGCTCTGGCAGTAAGCACACAGGCAGACATTTTAGATGAAAGAGGGAGAAATATCTAAATAAGTTACAAAACAGACAGAGAAATGAGTGCAAGAGGCTGAAATAATGGCTAAGCAGTCAGCTCCCACAATAACAGTTACCACTATCAGCTTTATAATAAATTTGAAAAAAAAAAAAAAGTTTACATATTTTTTGATCTAACACAGTTTTCTTCTCTCCCCTTATTCACTTTGGCTCTGGTTCTGCCAAGATGCATGACAGTATTTTATGCCTTGAGGGCATCCTATTGAAATGCATGGGACTGTGTGAGGAGAGAGCCAAAAAATCAGCTGAGTTGAGGACCTTGAGACCATTGTGTATCTTACCCTGTTTTGCTATCCCTGTTTGAGTGGCGGTACAAAACTGGGTCCTGCATAAATCACAGACATTTCAAGACATGATAAATAGAGATAGGATATTTGTTGGTGCCATGCTTACAGAAGAAAACTACATATTTAAAGAATGTGTGTTTGTGAGCAGGTTTGTCCCACAGAGTGAAATTTTCCACTCTGTATTTCCACCATGATATGGAATTTTCATTTTCATTAATTGATTGTGCATATGTCTGGAAAAATATGCTTGTCAGTGAAAGTCAGATGGATCTACAGTATTTCCTTAAATGTGTAATTTTGTAGTTTGGTTTTTTTTTTTGTGTCAAGTGTGAGCCTCTTTCTGTCACATATACCTTGTGGTGAGTAGCAGTTCTTTGTACTCACTAGATCTCAATTTAGCCATCTTGACAAAGGGAATAACAGTAATTACCAACCTAATGGAGATTTGCAAGTTTTCATGTGCTACTGGATGTGACATTCTTGGCTGTCAATGAGTCTTATGCAAAAGCTGTTACTACAATTAAATGTTTTAAATGCCCAGTGTAGCATTTTACCTGTCCAGCAACTGTCATTTTTGCTTACTACAGGTTTCTGACTTTAACATGAAATCTACAGCTGTAACAGTAACCTGTGTATTTTTTCTGTTCTTATTGATAAACAGTGCCTTTTTTCTTTTCTTTCACCTAAATAAGGGATTCTATTGAAGCATGGATCTTTCTTCCCTCTCTAGTTTTGTTTTGGGGTTTTGTAGCAATACAAAGAAAGGAACAGCTGTAATAAAAGCTCACAAGAACACCTCATAAAAGTTTGTTTGCTACAAGGACCGCATGAGTAAGCTGGGGGAAGTGAAACTTCTGCTCCTGTTTCTGCAGGTTAACTTTGCAGCAAGAAAATAACCAGTAATAATGAAAGATTGCTGTCATTTCCTAAATGTTCAGTAAGTGTAAAGAAAAGAATCTTGCTCAAGGATGATTGTCTTGAATGTTTCTCTCAGTTGCAGGTGGATCTGTAGTTAAGTTTTTGTTCTTTATATACTGTAGATGAATATGTACACTTAGGACAAATTTGACAGCAGGATTATTTACAAACAGGAAATATTTACAAACTAGCATTGAATTACATTACAGTGTT